TTTGCTTCCTAATGCACACCTCATAATTTTGTAAAGGATTGAGTGCACTTCCTTACAGAAGAGCTTCACACTGAATGTTTTGCATAAAAAATGTGCCAAGCTTGTCCAGAATCAGCCATTGCTACTGCCTTTTCCTTATCAGACCACCATGAAGCTGAGAGGACATTAACATCTGAGCTGTACCAGTGTTTGAATTTCTGATTTAGCCACTAAAATGAAATATTTACAAACATTTAAAAAACTCTTTCAGAATAAGGCTCTTCACTAAAAGCTTGTTACAATTCACATTGCTAAATATTCTTTAGTCTCAGAAGAGAAAGAAAATCTCTGAGGTAATTTAATAAAGGTCCTTGCTGCAAAATGTCAGTTTGAATCTCTGCTTGTATGAATATTCATTTTACATAAAGTATAACAAGGTATACTCTGTACTTACCTGGTAGATTAGGTGTCTTTGGGGAGGGTTGGAATCACTGCTCTGAATCAGGCAGTATGAGGCTTTGAATCAGAATCTCTCACAGGTCTGACCAGTGCCTTGACCCACTGAGCTGGATTTGGGTGCTGTCAGGGAAGGGAGACAACAACTCATTCGCCTGATTTTTGTGGATGGCATCACAGTCCTGGCCCTTAAAGCAAAACAGCAAGAATGGGATGCAGATGTTTATTGTTATTTGGCTAAATCCAAATATTTATCAAACAAAACACATTCCCCACTAATCTCCTGGTTTCATCTAGTAATTACTCATGTGAAAATGCAAAACAAATTTCCAAATCTGTCCTACACTACTGCTGTAAAGAGCAAAAGACACGTTCCCCTCCACCATTTCACTCACAAATGAACTCCAGGAAATAACCAATGAGCAGAAAGTCTTCAAATGTCACAGGCATGCTGACCTTATGAAGCTTTGTGTCTAAAGAAAATGAGGTGCTAGCACAGAGCAATTAATTCCTCATATAAATGGAAAAGAACATGTCTGTGACCACCAGAGTGATTCAGCAGCAGCAAAGGTCTTGGGCTTTCCTAGACAGGCACTTAATATTAGTGCAAAACCACAGGTGGAGAGGTTGCTGGATTTTGCCTGTCAGCACAGGTCATGTAGTATATGGGTTTCATGTAACATTTCCTCACCCTTTTTTTGGTTCAGCCATACTGTACAAAAACTTCCCCTCTTTTTTGCTGTCATGCACACAGTAGCTCAAACATATCTCTACAGCCCCCCTGAAAATATTGGTTGATACTCTCTCAGCTTTAGTTAGAACTACTTTTTATTTAAACTATTTGGAACTGTAGTTACATGAGAAAATGGGAGGCTGACCACAGCTTTAATGCTTAACAATTCAGTTAATGAGCAAAATTGCCTTTACCATAGCGAGTATTCTGGTTTCCATACAACAGGCAGATTGTTTACAGGTTGGGGGTTTTGTTTTTTTTAAGGCTCTGCTTTAAACTCATCCTGGGGTGTCTGGTCAGTTGTTAATGCTGTTACTTGGATGTCAGTAAATGAAAACAAAATGTCCTTGTCTTCAGTGCAGCTCACAGTTGGGATGCTCTTTGTTTCAGAAAAGGGAAGGACACATGATCTCAGGATGTGGGAAACAAAACATTATTCTTTCTGTGGCACACAGATAAAAGAACTGGCAAACAGACTGGGTGACTTGCTGGAGCTCACATAGGATCAGCAGGGAGTGCTAAACTCTTCCAACAATATTCTGATCACCTATGCACAAGTTCATCTCTTTCCAAAGAGAAAATTCAGAGGAACTTGCAACCCAGGAATCCAATTTTCAGCTCTGACTCACTCATTTCTCTGCTAATGATCTTCTGCTCTCCAAGTGCCCGGCATCAACTTGAATAGTAAAAGTGATAAAGATAGGAGTTCCATCCTTCTGGCACTAGAGTTCTCTAGCAGCTCGGGGGTAGCACCTCTCCTAGCATTTCAAGAAGAGGGGGATCTGTTTTCCAGGGCCTTCTCTGGTAAACTCAGCCCAGCACTGCTGACAGGGACCAGGGGCTGAGGCAGTGCCAAGCCAGCCCAGACTGCCCCTTTTTTCTTTCCAAGCTTGGCTGGCTCCTTGATTGGGTATGAGAACACTAGCTTGTGTTTCAGGTAATATCTTATTACCCTTTCTTTTCCACCTTAGTTCAATATATAGTACCTAATAATTTTTGGCTAACATTTCTTGATCTCTCTTACAATGTCCTGAACTTGTGCTGTCAAAATCTTTTGGAGTCTGTTCAGTACACATAGATCTCTACTTACTTTATCTCTGAGTACCCCATGACACATACTGCTTACAAATATTAAAGATTGTTCAGAGCATCTGGAATCTAAATGCCTTCCCACACAGTGTAAACTTTGACATGCTGTTACTTTGCAGATTGGCACTGAGTACTCAGACAAGATGAAGAATTGGTTAAAGAGGAAAGCCCCAGACAATGAAACTAATTAGGCAGCTAATTAGACTTACACTACCTAGCTCAATAGTCTCCACCTCCTTGCACACATGTGGCTACATTTGGGGGAAGTCCTTCTATCAATTTTATCACAGAGAGGCTAAAAGTCATCATAAGTCTTTACTCAGTGTGACATGGTAAGGGGCTAATTAATTTTTCTTGTCCTTAAGCAAGAACCCCATGCCTTGCTATACTTAATGGCAAAGGAAGAAGTCCCAGGAGAAAGGACTTGGTCTCTGGTCAAAAGGATTATCTGAGCAATGGGATAATCCTCACCATGTCAGCTTGAACAAGGCTTTAGGTCTGGATTATGTTTGCAATGCAACACAATGCAAAGTGATGATACCGGATCAGAGAATCTGGCCCATTTTGTGTGGTGAATGACAATTCTTCATGTTGCCACAGGCTATCTGTCATTTAATATATGTATACATACAAAGACAAGGTTTTTGGGTTTTATTCTTGCCCATTATGCAGAATTACAAAAAAAGCTTGGCTGTGGTATAGTGGCTTTCTTGATCCACAGATGGCAGTAGGAAAAATAAGGCTTCAATTCATGAAGAAAAATTGGGTAAGCAAAAGGATTCCAGGTAAAAATTCTGTTCATCATAGACACAATATTAGAGAAAGATTTGACCATTCCATGCTAGATTTCTCCTCCTTGAATATAAATATTTTATTCAGAAATTTAACTGAACAAATCATAGATATTTCATTCTGGTGACTGAGAAACAATTGTCCAAGACTCAAAAAATATAGTGATATATTTATTTATTTAATTTATTTAATTCGTATTTTAAATTATGCTTAGACACATTTCCTTCTCCCCTCAAGCTATGAAAGTTATTGCAAGCCAACCAGAACCATTTACTTCATTGTAAATAAAAGTGGTTGGTTTGGTATTTTTAGTTACTTGTTATTAATTGCAGGGAGAATTTTTTTACTGCCCTTATATTTTTTTCTCTTTTTTTTTTAATAACATCCTTCTGTCTGGCATCAGGCTGTGGCTTGAGGTCATCTGGAATGCTTCCAGATAAACATATTCAACCCATCTATGAGATATCATTTTTCAAAAGCAAACACAAATAATCTACAGATACTCAGATTTTCCTTTTTATATTGTTCTGTTGTATCTGTCAAGGTTGAATTAAGCAATTCCTTTCTGAGTGATGAAAAGAAAATTTAAAAATTACTAGTGTATCTAAGCTTGATGCATGATGTGATACAGATATTTGTCAAGAATGACATTATCCCAGCTGATCTGACCTACAGAAAGGCTTAGAGAGGCTTTCTGATCTCCCTTCTGTGATTCTCTGACCCTCGGTTGGGCTCATTTTTATTTGTATCACAATGTTCTCTGCACCCCTAGGTTCTGCAGGACACAGCCTTCCTGAAAATGCCTTTGGCTCCAGCCCCAGGATCCCAGAGGCAGGGTGTTGCATGCTGTGGGGCTGTGCTGGTCACTGACATTGTTCATGTCCTGGAGCATTTTTAAGGACTGTAAGTAAGCAGGATGGGTGTCTCATTTAACCTGTTTGGGATTTATGATCTGCCACAAAATGTGCTCAGTAGCATTCACAAAGTTTATGGCAGGAATAAGCACCCCACATGGCTGACTGAATATGGCTGGGCTGGGAGGGCTAAGGTTTGCCTGCACAATGTTTTCTCACAGCACAGACAGCTGAAATATCTCAGCTGCCTGAGTCCTCACACCCAAGAGTAAGCTGCTATTTATGCTGCAAATGATGCCTGCAAGAAAGGTTTTCAGAGTTAAAATATTCATTTTTTTTTTAGCTTTTGTAAATCCAAGAACATAAAAATAAAATATTACTTTTAACTGTAGTTGAATAGACAAATAGAGTTGTGACAGTTAGAAAATTGTGGTAACATTCAGTGTCCACAACATTTAGTGTTCAACTAGCTCATGAGAAAACACCATCCCTTTCTCAAGTGCTTTACAGTATCCTGTAGCTTCCTTGAAAATTAAAAGTGCCAAAAAAATTTAAAGTAGGCTTTTATGTAGTAGCCTGTGAAATGAACACTGACTTCAGACTCGTTTCTGGGACATCTTCACAGAAGGGAAAGTCATTGGCTGAGCATTGTCCATGTATAATAATGAATAATACATATCTGATATATAGCTAAACTGAAATTCAAACAAAAGGATAAAGGGAAAAACAGGAAAAAAGAACAATTGTCATGCCAGAGCAATCATCTACTGTGAGAAATGTGATATCTGAGTTTAGAGGTGCAAGGACTTGAGAATAACAGCAGGAGGACAAGGCACAAAAATATCACCACAGCAGTTTGGGTGAACGATTGCAGAGTGAAACGCTACAGAATTGCAAATCTGAGATCTTTAGCATTACAAAGGTTAAGGCACAGTGTGACACAGGGGAACTTGAGGCATTTGATGAGACAGTCATTATTCCTCAAAGAAAGAAAGGCAAGATCAATAGGAAAATAAATAGACCACTCTGCAGCTTGACAGGATTTTACAAGATCCTCTAATTGCTTAGTTTCCTCCCTTTGTATCTTTCAGAGAAATAATGACACCTGGCTCTGTAAGTCACTGCTAAGAAGCCAGCTGGACACCTTCAACTGAGGAGTTTAGATTTCAGCCCCCCCTATAGACATGATACTACTGCAGAAAAGGAGGGACTCGTTAGGGGTATGGCCAATATGCCAACAGCTGTGGTTGATGGATATGAAAGTGGAGCATCTTTGAGGAGATTTGGAACTAGAATGATTAATCCTATGCTTTTTAGGGCTTGCTCACCTGACCATCAGCATCACCTGACGATGCTATCATGACTATCATCTGCTGACATGCAAAAGTGTCTCCTTCTAGTAAGTGAGGGTCCCAACTGTTTGGTCAGCCAAAGCTTTAGGTGTAAATAACCTCAGGCCAGCTCTTGCAAAGCCTCCATCCTCTTGTCCTCTGAGGACACACCAAAGAATGGGAACTGTTGCAGCATTTAAGTCAGAGCATCCTTGCCTATCCTGTTCAAATTTTGTGAAAAATATCTCTGAAGAGAAATCCACATCTAATTGCTTAACATCTACAGCTCTAATGGGTATGGAAGCCAAAAATCAGGAAAGTTAAATAAGCTCGAGTAAAAGATCTTATTTATCCAGAACTCTGTTTGTAATGCTGTTTTTTCATGAAGAACAAGCACCTGGCGAAGCAATTTCTAACTTGAGGAATTTGGTTTCTCTGGAGGATGGTGTGATAACCTTGGCACAGACTGTGGTGGTCTCTGGTAGTGAGCAGCAGATACTGGTGAGTTTTTCAGTATTTGGTAATTGAAATAACATTGCTGCTACTTCTTTCTTCTTTCCAATTCTAGGAATTCCCCTACTATGAACTGAAGGCAGGCAGTTTTACTTAAGAGTAATAATTTAAAAATTGTAATCAACTATGCATAAATTGCCTAAACTCACGCTGATACTCTTGGTTTCATGGCTCAGTGCTTGAATATGTAAATAGAAGAGTGACACTGCATTAAAAACCCTAGAGAAATGCTGCTCTTGAATTGCTTGTTTGGGAATGACATTAATTACAAAATAGACAGGCTGGGAAACCACATAGAAATCTGTCCCTGACAATGGCATGAACACTCCTAAGGGCTTTGTCACACAACCTGCATGTTTTTACACATAATCAAGTTGATTAATAAAATGACAGATTAACAAGTTCTTTCTTCTGCCCCAAAATGCAATCCAAACATTGCTGCACAGCTCAGAAATGCACTCCAGTGATGGTGTTTCTTTGGGACACTTGTTCCTCCTGAGTGTTTAGCCCTTTAATGAGTCCCTGCAATCGAGATATACACACTTTTAAGGGATAAAACAATTATGCTTTAGCCAACACACACAAAAGTTAGCTGTGTTTATGAAGCCACATGGTTTATTTCCACCTGAGAGACACTGAGAGAGTGCTTGCAGTCCAAGTAGGCATTAGTCAGGGAGAGGGTGGAACAGCTTTGCTGCATGGCATAGATTCTGCTCCTGAGCTGCTACCTTTCAGCATTGCAGTTGGGTTTTTTCTGTTTGTTCATTTGTTTAGGATGGTTTCTATTTGTTTGTTTTTGTTTTGTTTTATAACCTTCCATGACAGTGCTTTCCTTCTAGAATCCTAGAGCTACTAATGATCCTGTCTCAGCAGTTCTTACCTGTCTGAAGCTTTATCTTCCTTATCTTTGCTCTACAGACTTTTTCACAGCTCATTCTCAAACCGAGTAATTAGAAGTCTGAGCCATGATTGTGTAACTCAGCCACATCATTATGGGGCTTCACATTCCTGGCAAGCCTGGGACAAGTTATAGAGGAGTGAAGAGAGGGAGAGCTACACCACCTTGCCTTTCATATTCTCCACCAGGAAAAGGACAGTGAAACAAGGAACAGAAACTACAGCAAAGACTTTTTTATATGCTAAAATTTCACTTTAACACAGCTTCTGATGGAATTTGAAAGAGCTTCTGAGGTAAATAAATCCTGGACACTTTCAAAATAGAATGGTGTTACATTTATTACTTTGCACTAGAAATGTGATTCTGAAGTACTGGTGCAGAGTGATTAAAAAAGATAAGGAATGATCCCCACGTGTGAATTTGAGCTTCACAGGCTTCCTGGTACCTTCCTGGCTCAGGCTAGATCTTTATAAAGATTATCATATGAAAAGGGAGGTATATTTGACCCTTAGTGTTTGATTTGTCTGTCAGTGCCCGAGGAAAGCCGAGACCCTTGTGCTCCACCAGTCTGTCAGTGTCCCATTAGGAGCACCCTTCAGAGAGCAGTCCTGCTGGATCAGAGGGTGGTTCAGCTGACTTGTTCACTGAGAACACACAGCAGCAGCTTAAGGAACACCACTCAGCAGGTCTCCTACATTATTTGAGTTATGTTACCCGCTACCGGTGACAGTCAGCGCCTGTGAAGGACCCACACTAGCAGTTTGAGGAATAACTCTCTTTTATTTTAAACATTTTAAATTTAATTTGAATAGAAAATTTTGACAAGCTGAGGTTCAAGGATTGCCAGTGATATTATCTGAATGCAAAAACATATTCAAAGCAATACACAGATTAGCTCTAATCCCAAATTCAGTGTGACTAGAGTATAGGTTTTACCCACCAGGCATCCCTATGGGCAAGACAGGTTCAGTACATCAACTAATCCCAGAATTTATTGTGGACTTTTCCCTGGCTTCTCCCCATTCTCTATTAACTTTTATAATTTCTTTATGTTTAGAGCTTGAATGACTTCAGTCAAACATACCTTTGTTAAGTCAAACCTTTGTTACTGATTGGTGTAAAATTCTCTTGCTTCACTCTGAAAGATACAGTAAAAAAATATGAGCATGTGCACAGTGAGGGGTGATTGTACCTTAGAGGCAGAAAACTTTGGGATGAAGGTGTGTGTGAGTTAATATTACTGTGAGATTATAATGAACCAAATTCATCTGAGGAGGGTGTAGTTGGCTCAGCAGCAGGACATCTCCTATCTCCCTTGGTGCTTTGTAATTTTCCAACTGCAAAGTATCATAAGTTACCATTGAGATCCCCTCCCTGCAAGGGTTTCAACAGAGCCTGGCTGTGGTTTCTCCACTCTGCCTCACCCTCTCCATTCCAACTCCCTTAGCAGGTGCTTACAGGTGCATATTGTGGGTGTGGGGAATCATTGTGGAATAGGTTTCCAGCATGACAACCACACTCCATCCAAGGAGAAGCAATTGCATTTCACCCTATAATTCCTCTACTTCTGTTAGGATGTGAATATAACTTCTCAGTTTCCTCTAATTTTGCCTCCAGCCATCTTTCCACAAAGATTATAGTAATGTCTCTTCTTCTGCAGAATTGTTTCTGGAATTGAGCAATATTTTCAACCTCACATAAGATCAGAGACTAATTTAGGTTGGAAGAAAAATGTGTAGATCTCTAATCCACACCCCGCTCAAAAGGGTGCTGGCTTCAAAGATAGATCAAATTGCTCTGACCCAGTTATTTGAAGGATGGTGATCACACAAAATGTCTTGGCAGGATAACCCAGTGTTTGACAATCCTCACCATGAGCACTGGTTTCCTCTTCTTCAGTTAGAATTTTTGTGGCAACCTGTGCCTGTTGTCTTTTGTTCTTTGTAGTGTAGCAGAGAAGAGTCTGTCCTCCCAAGGAGAAAATACGCCCCAGTTACAACCATGGGCAATACAGACTTGACTTGAAAAAATTAATTTAATTTATTACTAATCAAGCCAGAGCTGGATGATAAGAAACAAATCCAAATTTTAAAACACCTTTCTCCCACCCTTCCTTCTTCTCTGGCCCACCTTTACTCACAATTTCTCTACCTCTTCCTCTCCTGGTGGCATGGGGGAATGACAGCTGTGGTCAGTTCACTGCACTTTGTGTCTTCCTTCCTCCTCAGGGGAACAACTCTTCCCATTCTTCCTGGCTCCACACAACTTTGATAGACAACTAGGTACAAATCTCCAGTTTTTATGCACTGCCATTATTTCCTTCACTGGCTCTAATTCATATTTTGTATTGGTTTTCTCCCCCCACTTTTGGATGCACAAGAAGCATGCAAATCTGAACTTCTTTCAAAACTGAGAGAAACTGTCGCACTATATTAAGAATGATGAAAGTACGGCACAGACTCTCTAGCCTTGGTTGCGGAAGAAAGCAAGTTTTATTCTTCCAGATTTTCTTTTGTAGAAAGTTCTGAGAAGGTCTGAAATGGTAAACCTCTCTTTGGTAATTAAACCAACACATCACCATCACTGGACAGTTGGGAACACCACCCCTTGACTTTTTCTTGCAAGTAAGCAACAAGGTGACAAACAACACCTGCAAAGGTTGTTTTCCTTCTCTAAGGACTGCTTGGACTCCTCCTTATGATTTCTCAGGCCAGAGTGAGAAAGTTATGTCACTTAGTCTCACACAGGCTCAAGCTAATGCCTGAAGCCGAAAAATCTCTTGCTTGACAACTGTCAGTTCCCACAAGAAACCTGTAATTTAGTCCAGTAGATTCTTATCAATATTTCTTCTGTTATAAAAAGAGAAAATTTGGATAAGAAAATGCAGTGAATGAAGATGACCCAGCATGTTTCATAGTTTACATTGCTAAACATTATGAAACACAAAAAAACTTCAGCTATTATATAAAAAACACAAGATCCTTACAACAGAATAGTTCATTTTGCCTTTATGTTCATTTTGGGTTGTAATTTGCTTAAAAGCTTTCCAGAGAGAATCATTTATGTTTTCATCTAAATGGTTAGGAAATATGTCAGTTCGCTTAGATTGTCTTGTTTGCATGGGCAATGAAGTTTAAGATTAATCTCATCTAATCTAAATGATGCTCACGTTAGACTTTGCCAGAGAGCTGTGGAGTGAGGGATCACACGCCTGTGCAGCAAAGCAGGCACTCACCTCCCAGATTTCTTAAAAGGAGCATTATTTCCAGATGCCTTATCCTTATATTGTATCCTCAGCTCAACTCCAACATCAGAAAGCAATTAACTGTTTTCATCCCTCCTTCTGGCTGGGTGCATAGACTATGTGGCAAGCTGCTTGGTTGTCAGAACATTTGACATGAAAGGCTGAATTTCCTCCTATTAACATTAATGGGGATCCCTCCACTAAATCCCTGGCAGTACTCTGAAAATCTCTTCCTGTTTATAACTCAGGGTCATGTTGTTGCTGGATTGTGTCATGAGGGGATTATTTCCATTTTTATGCCCATGCTCTCACATAAAATAGAAGGAGGTGATTTTCACATTTTCAGGTAGTGTAATTTGGTTTTCATGAGTCTCTAGGAGTTTTAAGATGATTAATATGTTGCAGTCCTAATTTTCCTCTATGGCTGGTGACACCAAGAAACAGTTCTTCTGTCACCTAAATAACAAAAAAGAAACAAAAAAAAAAGAAGAATAACATATATCCTCTTAGATACCTTCTTTAGTTTTATTGCAAGTTATTCAAGACCTGAAATCCCAATCTGCAGCTGGTCTGAACTTGCACTTTGCAAAAGTACACTGTGATTCTTATGTGGGTCATGTGCATAGACCTTGTTTTAATGTACTGCTGAGGATCTTGAGGAATTTTAACCCCTGGAAAGCATTCACAAATTTAATGGTATGTAAGTAGTCCTTCTGTGAAAGAGCTCTGTGTGTGTGTGTATGAGGTGAGTTACTGAATTGTCTTTGCAGCTGTAGGTTTGTAACAGTAAACAGAGAATTATTTGGACAAAGCTGGTCACAGCTGTCTCTTCAGGGTGGAACAGAGTTGCAGTAAGTGTTGAAGTGGGAAAGCTGTGAAAACTGTAAGGAGTAAATGCTTTAAAATATGCCTGAAATATCTAGCATGACCACAGAGCAAAGTGAAAATGCTGTATTCAAAAATTCATAGCAGTAAACAAAATGTGCCTAGGAACAATCATGGACATTGATTGGTACTAAGGTCCATCTCTGCAAAGAACTGTATTACTCTCCTGCCCTGGTTTCAGTTGGCATACTTAATTTTCCTGTATAAAGTTATGTTTTGGATTTAGTGTGACAAAAATGTTGATAATACATTGATGTTTTAACTGTTTCAAAGTAGTGTTTCCTCCAAGTTAAGGACTTGCCAGTTTCCCATCCTCTGCAGGCAAGTAGGTGCACAAGAAGCCGGGGGGGAGTTATGACCAGGACAGCTGACCTGAACTGCCCCAAGGGGCTCTTTCATAAGGTAGAACATCATGTTCAGTATAGGAATGTGTGGAAGGGGCCTGTCGCTGCTGGGGGACTGTCTGGGCATCTGTCAGCAGGTGTTGAGCAACTGGACTGTGCATCTATTGCCTTTCCTGGGCTTTATTCCTCTCTTTCTCTCCTTTTCAATATAACAATAATAATAACAATAATATTTTTTTAAAGTTATACAACTGTTCTCATCTCAGCCCATGAGGTTTACTCTTTTTGCCTGGTGATAGCTGGGGTTAAATCATGACATCTCCCAGAGCAGTTTTGCCTGCCTGCAAAGTATATGTGTGTGGGGAATTGTCCCTCTCATGTGCTGACTCCTGAACTATGCCTGGGAATTATTTGTATCACACTGACTGGTTTGGCCCAGAATCAGGCATTATCTGAGGTAGGTGCTGAGGTGCAAACTCTTGGCTCCAGGAGCTGATTCTGTATGTGACCTTCTAGCAGCACATGCTGACATTGAAACCATCCCATCCTTGTTGCTGTTGCTGCCCCTGCTATCTAGATTAAATCTGCCACATTTGTTTTGTGGTGTGGACAGGCCATATGTTCCTTAGAATTTAATTTCCATTTTAAAAATCATTTGGGTGTTTAGTGGCCTTAAACTTCCTTAAAGTCAGCAGAGTTAAGGTCACAGAACACTTAGCAAACTTGTGCAAATGCTGTTCAGTGCCTGTCACAGGCTGGCAGCCAAGGGACCAGTGCTGCAGCTTGCAGCTGGCCCTGGAGGACTATGCCTGGACCATCCTACTTCAGGGCAGACTCCTCTTGTGCTGGCACCCAGGGCAGCTGCAGGATTCCATGGTGCAATAGGCAGATCTCTCTATACGAGTTAGGAACTCGTCACATGCCTTCTGTCAACCTGTCCCTGCTTACTTTGGTTTAAATCATAGCCCAGCCCTACCTGGAGCAGCTTCAGCCTACCTGCCTCTCACCTATGATGCTTGGGGCTGTAAAGAGCTTCTTAGGTGAACTTTGCAGCCAGTGTTAGTGTCAGTGTCTTTGATTTGGTGTGCAGGTTAGCTAATTTAAGGGTGATTGGGATCTGCTTTCATTACTCCACAGGCACAGCATGGTTCTCAGCAGAGCCACACATCAAGAAAACAGACCTGCAAACTGCTGCCCGTGCACGTTTGGATACTTACAGAAATATGGTTCATGGCTCCTCTAATAAACTGCTTTGTATCTGTAGGTCAGAGAAAAGCCTTGTCCTTTCCTGGCCCAGTCCTCCTACCAAGCACAGTTTCCACCTTCAGCACCCATGGAAGGTCGCAGGGGGCTCAGGCATGATGTCACTGTCAGCTGGAACCTGTATTTCCCTCATTTGCTGCTCAGGGAAGTAGATGAAGAGTAGTGCACTCAGAAAAAACTTCACAGGCATTGTGAAAACATGGCTCACTCACCACGGGCTTATCAACACTACTAGAAATCTCTAATAACCATAAGAGGCTACGGCTCAGGATTGTGGTTCTTCATGAGAAAAAAATCCCACATTGAAACAATTTTAGTTCACTGCATTATGGAAAGTATTAGAGCTTGAATCAGAAGGGAGAGTCCTGTCAGCTGAGTCAAATTCTTCTTCACATTAATACTAAATATAATTATCCTGGCTACTGGCAGTTCTACATTTTTAAATAAGGACAGTTCTACACCAAGCATACATTTTTAATTGGACAAAAATTATTTAACAATAGGAAGTTTTGTTATATTTTTGCATTAATATCATCTCCACATGTCTTTATTTGAATAACAGCCAAAGACTCTAACCTTGCTCCGGTCCAAATAAAGACTTGCACTTTTAAGAGGGGAGATCACATGTAGGCAATGTTTAACCCCAATTTGAAAGCTCAAGCAGGTGATAGCCAACTGCCATACGTGTTTTACTGACTGCCATCTTTATTTTAGTGATCTTGGAGCCAAATTCATTGGATGGTGGGAAAGACAAAAATACAATCCCCTAAAAAATCCCCCAAACCAACTGACACAGACCTTTCCTTTTTTTTCACAAGTCTGGGCTGTGTGTCAAGAATCACATTTCTGAGATTCATTGATTATGTCCCTGCTGGCTATTTAAAGGCACTGGTAATTCTGCAGTTATATTGTTCATTTATCATTGTCTTCCAGCACTTCAGAGCAAAATTGTTTCGGTTTCTTTTTCTGCCCACTTTTCAAAGGATTTTATATCAAGTTTTTAAAAAACACTAAGGGGAACATATTGATGACAGACATATCCCGCTAATGGACATAGAGATGCATCCTTGGGGAATGCTGGGAGCTTCTTTTAATTACCTGCACAACCAGGGTCCAACTGACTGAACTTCATTCCCTTCTCATTTTTCATTCAGTCTGCATTCCTTTGGGACACACTCATTGCATTCCAATAAATTACATTTGTCAATCTATTGCAAGCAATGTTTTAACCCATGGGTAGCTGTAGCACTATGTCTGTGTTCAGGTGCCTGCTGTGGTGCTCATATGAATTGAAGTGAGCTTGAAGATAAATTGCATTAATGAAACTTGGCCAGGTCAGGTCTATTGTCAAGGCGGAAACTTAAGGGTTTCATCCAGGCTCTGAGATCTGACATAACAAGGTCCTTTGCCCCCTGTATTCTCTGTGTTTGTGTTCTATCCTTAAAAAGGTGAACAGGTACTTCCCAAATTTCTTCTGCTGTGTTGAAGCAAAGAAAATAGGAGCACAGATATAGGATAATAGGCAGGTTAGGAAACCTTTGTATCCCAGCTTACCTATGATGTATGAATACATTCTTTACTACTTGGATATTCTTGTGGCAAAACCAGAAAGTTCATTTTTTCCAGATGCTAGTCTACCACTTATAGTCTTTTATAAGATTAAGGTATCTTTTTGAAGGGACTAAACCCACTGTTGAGCACTTTTTGCAGGTAAGCACTGGAAGAGATTGCTTAGGGGTGTAACTAAATCTTCTTCACTGAAGACCTTTAGGAACATCTGCTATGAATGTCATAGGTCCAGCAAGCCCATCTGTGGGGGGAGACTGAGTGATCTCTTGGGGTGCCTCTGTAAGTCAGTCTTACTTTAGTTTCGTATGAGATGAACTAAAAATAAAATGTATAATCCATAAGGACAATACAGAACTAAACCCAGTTTTTTTCCTCTTTGGTCTGAAGGTCTCTTAGAGAACAAAGCCATGAGAAATTTACCAGAGTCAAATACTATCCTTGGAGTACTGCATAGGTGTTAAAAATCAGGACACTGTAGAGCTGGTTACTTCCTTCCTAGTGGACCTGTTTGCAGTGGCTTTAAGATGCTCAGGGACTATGTGAGAGTTCTTAAGTTTGTCACCTTCCCTGCAGAGAAAAGTGCCTGCTTCCTTTTCCTCAGTTACTGGAGTTCTGACATTAAGATGAGATACAAATCACAATATACAAGACAGATTTTTATGACCCTCTTCCATCTTGCAAGACTAATTTAGCTTTTTACAAGACTGACAGAATACTATCCACATCAGGACAGCAGATTTGACATCTCACAGAAAAGGGACACTTGATTTTTTTCTAAGGTAACGTGCAAGGCTGCCCACAGATTGTCAAAGGCATG